AACGGCAAACCTCACCCCATAAGTCAGTACCAATGTCAGTGATGTGGAATTCAGGCAGCTGCCATGAGAGATAGTTGAGTTGCAAACTTGGGGGAGGGGCGCGGAGGTGCCCCTTGGCAGTCCTTACACAACCCTACAAATCTGACAGCTTGTGAACGCGAGCCGCAATGGCGTTAAGGGACGTAGAGGCGTGGGGTCCACGACTTTCCCTAGACCTGTTTGCTTTCGGTTTCCATGCCCATACTAGATATTTCGAAAGGATTCACCTGCTGCAAGCTCAACCTCTTGTTGACATACATCGGCCTAGGGTTTAGGGTTGAGGGTTCTATCTGCGACTTCGCATCCGCCCTTAGCTGTTAGAAGCAACACCCAAAGCAGCGAAGCTTCAAGTTCTGACACGGTAGGCGCCCCAAGAGCAAAAGATCTAACCAACCCCAAGTCTTATAGTACCCCTAAGTAGGTAGAGTATGGCTTTGGGTATGTTATGCTAAGATCCCCATATACCCCATAGTTTATGTACTTAAGGGGGACTATAACCCTAAACCCTGCAACTTGGATGCGCATGCGCATGTCTAGGCAGGCAACTTCCTCGACTTGGTAAACCGCAAGTTCTACAACGGGCCTGAGCCCCGTACGGGGACTATATTCGGGTTTCAATTCTATGTTGGGGTTATATTAGGGTTGGCAAAACATGATGGGTCCCGTCTTGGGGTAGGATCACACAATTTGGCGCGGGCCCTATTTCTGGAAACCCCGGTATGAATGGCTTTCAAGCCACCTTCGAAGATTGCAAGGGATTACAGGGGTTTTCATAGACCTGTACTTCCTGAAGGGCTGAGTGATATGCGGGCTTTCAAAGAAAGGGCTGCTTCATCGATCTTCCAAAGATGACGAGGTCACACTGGTGTGCATGAAGTTACACGTTAGCTTGGCGTAAGCTTCGCAGCATGCACGACAAACGGCTGCCCACAAGCTGCTGTTTGCCCTAATTAAACCCGAGTCTCCAAACCTCGACCCAAAGCCCTACTCCCAAAACCCTAACTAGACAGTCAGGAGCCCACAATTAAATCTACAGTACTTTCCCCCAAGTTCCTAACGTTTGGTGACTAGGCCTACCAGGTAAACTCTAAACGGCGTGAGGCTCACCATTCAACGTGCTGATGGATTCATCATCCAGCTGCCTGCTCAGCCAGTTATTTCGGGCTCAGGGCTTGATGATGGTAAATCCTAGTACACCCCGTACACCATCGTAGCCCAATGTTTGGGTGATACAGGGCTGCACAGGGTTTAGGGTCCAGGGTCCAGGTGCCCAATAATTGAGCATGTGATAGTAGTTGTAGTACATGTTTTGGGGTAGTGTATGATTATCGGGCACTTGGACCCGTAGGCCCTTGAAGCATGTTAGGCTTGCTCCCTTAACTTGTACTCCAGGGCTTGGGTTTGGGAATTTTTGCAACCTCTCTCCAAGAGAAAAAGGGCTCCATTGGCACCGTCTTGGTGTCCAAAGTCCCCTAAACCGAAAGCCCAGAGGCCCAAAGCTAGGGAGTCGTCCAAAGGCATGGGGGCTGATGCGGGGCAAAAAGAGGCGCTGCAAGAACAAAAGCGTGCCTTCCTTGTATGTGAGGGTTGTTCTAAAGGTCCTTGTCTTCGGTTTATACTTGGGCGACCATTTCAGCTAGTTTAATGGACTCGCGAAAGTTTCGCGAAAGAAGACGCGAAAGGATTACACTTTTTCGCGAAAGATGTGTGATGGCAGAGTCGTTCAGTACAGTAAGATGATTCGCCAGAGG